AATAAACTGAATTCAACCTCAACATGTACTTCAAAGTGTAGGCAATCATGATGCCAAGATGTTTGTTTGTGCTCTGAAATGCGGAGACCGAAAGTGCCGTTTGACAGCGTATAGCACAGCAACGTCGATGATTTTATTTTTAGATCTGAAAATAAAGCTTCGCTTTCAAATTTAATTGCATCGACGATCGCCCGCCTCGCGACGCAAATAGCAGCATCACGACCCTGAACCTACCCGAACTTACTTCTATCTTGGCTCAAATGATGTAGATAAATTGTTAGGAAAGGAAACAGATTGAAAATCATGACTCGGTTATATCAATTGCCACGATTTATTTGGATAGGTTAGACCAAGTTACACTATATGATTTTTATCTTCAATTAACCTTTATTTCCTCTTCTCGATTTGATATTTTACGTAACATCAATTTCACCCTGCCGCCTTTATTAGGCGAGTTTATCGGATAGAATAGAATTTACAGACTGCTTTTAAATTGCTCTGAACTCGTTACAAAGTCGTTTTAGCTGTCTTGAAAGTTGTATTGAATCCTGACATATAGCGTCGTATAAGGTTGGTCAACTACGTCTAGCCAACAAAACTTAAGAGTCATTTCGAGAATTAATGACTGAATTATGCATAGAACGGTCTGAATTGTCGCTGCTTTGCCGGCTGACTGCGTAATGAACTATTGCAACTGATGACCGGTCATGCATGGATAGCATTAAAACTTAATTTAAAAAAACAATACAGAAATAAAAAAATATTAATGCAGTTGACAGCTAGCGGTTATAATATATGAACGTTTTTAACTGCGTTGTAAATGTTTTGGGCTGTTTTAAGTTCCGCGCAAATTGCATTCACAGTTCCATCAATAAAATTTGATACAGCATTAAGCGAACTTGAACGAAGGGGAGAGGGCTTTGTTGCATCGCATTACAGTGAAGCATATTGGTGCGTGCACACACAACTACAACACAGTGCATAAAACGCACACATAAATAAGTCTTTGCCGGGCTATGCATAATCACAGAAATTTGCAAGTAAAATTTCGAGACGCGACATTTTTAAGCCCAGCAAATGTATTGTTGAAAGGTTCAGGATACAACTACATATAACGACCAAAACTCGGTACAAGGTCGGCCACTTACGCGAAGGCGAAGTACGGAACGCACGATTCGGAGTGAGATGCACGTAGACGGGGTTCGGGAGGATATTGTAGTCAGCTGCAATTTATGCAGGCATGCGCTGTTGCGTCGATCACGCCCTAAAAACTACGTTAACGAGCTCCGCCGCCATCTACCACTGAGGACATGGGAACGGAAATCACCACCTCGTCTGATGAGAATTTAAGACTAAAAAACTCATTTTTAATATCATATTACGTTTTTATTTAATAAAAATTTATATAATTTCGAATGATCATTGAATTGTATTATCGTTTTTCCTTAATGTCAACAATATAATCGTCTAGATATATCTAAGTGTTTAAATGTAAATCTATGTATCTGTATTTATCAATACCCTTTTGCGGCCTCCCCTCTAGCGTGTTTACGCGCCACTGACGGCTGAGTCACATCGGTCGCGCCTCACTCCTCAGTTTAAGGCGATTCTCAATGATCTTAATGATTTAATCAGACATCATTTGAACATTTAGATAATATTAAACTAATACTAATAACATACAAACCAAAAATTTGGTTATTATCTAACTTTAAGACCTAGACTTGGAATATCAGAATTTCACTGAGATAAACGTATATGTAAACCTTTCCTCTAGAAATAGCCATACCACTAAAAATCTAGGTATTTCTGTGTGCATAATAATAATAGGCAATAGAAAGCCGGACAGGTTATGCTTTTTTTTATTTAATTGCACGGAGACGTGTTTCCGTCTCAAGGTTACAAATAAACGTGATCAAACTTTTTTGTGTTAAAGCGCGATTTGCACACAAAAAACATTTCCTGCAAAAGTAAACATAATGTTTACATAATCAACGAAATTAAAACAAACTCTAATGGAGGATAAGTGAAATAAATTCTTGGTTCATAATTATAATCATAGATTAATGCATTAACGTAATTTCTCGTGATCAAACATTTTTAAATCGATTTATATAAAAACTTTTTGGAATTATTTTCTTTGAATATAAAAAATATGTATTAATCTTGATATTTCTTTATTTCGTTACATTATAATTCAGTAGCCGACACATCCTGCGGTTGTTATTAGTCTACAAATGGATAGTTTAGGTCTAACTTGTCTGAATCATGGACGCTCATGCGATCAGGTACGTATTGAATACTAATGACTCATAAATATATTAACATTTTTTTAAATATAAAATTGCATTCGTTTAAAAATCAAGAACATAACATAATTTTACTCCTCTCTTTATGAACATTTTACTATATTTTGAGCAGATTTATTGAGTAATATTTTAAAATTGAAACGTATTTTAAAGCTGACATTTGCATTGTCAAATCGTACTCACGATGTACGCGAGTTAAATCAAAATTAGTGTTTTTTTTTTGTTAAAAATAACAATAAATTCCTCATTGACAACTTGAATGTTGTGTCTTAACTGGAGGTCGAACCCCAACTCGTTCTTATAGGTCAAGTTGTCAAGTATGTCGAAGGACTTATTCAATCGCAGACAGTAAAGATAGCAGATTAATGAAAATCTGTTTAAATTACAATGACATATTTCATTTACTTTCATTGTTTAAAGTTACTCTACAGAATAAAAACAAAAGAATATGAAGATTTTATATTCAAGATCTTGAAATTGCTTCTTTTTTTCAAGTTTTTCTATCGATTATTCTGTTTTTTAAAACCTTTTTTATGCATAAGTCATTTCCTAAGTATATTCAGTTAGAATTAGACTTTAAATACTCTCAGTGGCTATACTTATACTTACCTTCATATGTTAATGCAGAGTATATCTCGATAGACTACGAAGCAGAGGCAACTATTATTATAAACAAAAATTTTCTTCTTTTTATATTAATTTCAACTACTTTAATGCTTCCATTGATTTAGTATGGCTAATATAATTAAAATGCAAGAACGATAAAACCATAGAAAGCAAAACAAATAAATATGGTCTCGTTTAAATATTCAGTGATCGTTAATATAATAGGTATATTTATAATAAGTATATATTATATTGTAATAAAATCTTTGAACATCGTAAAACATAAATCGTCTGTTGTGTTTATTCTCAGTTAGCGCACATATTTAAATATTAAACAGATAAACTTCTATTTTCAACATGTAGCAATTTAAAACGCATTAAGATAAGAATTTCTAGAAGGTACCACAAATATTGGGGTCATAGAAATCAATTTTCTTCAGCGATTATAACGTTTTATTACGTTCTGTGTGTTATAACAAAACAAAAATTTCACGGTTATCCGTATTGATTACTATTTTCATGGTTATTTATTTAAGATAATATTTTTTTCTTCAGCTAACAAACATTTCTGTTCACATATAAACGAAATTGACATAATAATCGTATTAACTCAAACGACGTGTTAAAAACGGTATATTTTTAATCGGGAAACGTTCTTAAATAAATATGATGATTAGATAAACGTAATATTAAAGTTCCGCTTCAACCAGCGAAGAAACCGCATTAATTTGTACAAGTGGCATCTGGCGCAATTTGGGGAAAATGCATTTTTATATAACTATGGTGTATGGACGGGAAACGGAAACCAGATGTGCAACGAAGCGTGTGTGTGGGACCGGCGAAATTGCATTTTTAGGGCTCCAGTTCGGGATGCGTTTTCCGTGCGAATAAAATAACAAGAATGTCAAAGTGTTTCGTTTTTATTTTATGTTCCAATTGCAATTTAAAGCAGTTATATTTCATGTTCCGTTTCAACGGAGATATTTTTTAATATAGAATGACCAAATTGCGAAATAGTTATGTGTTTGAAATAAGTGAGCAAAACGATTATTGGATAGTCTTACGATAATTGAGGAAAATTTTACATAAATTTAACGTTATTTCCATTTTCCATATACTTTTTACTTACAAATAGTAAAAAAAAAGTTAAAATTGAAGCATTTTATTCAAATTGTGAGCACAGGTGCTACAAAAAATACTATGTATTAAATTTTAATTACAATAGACCCGTCGCATTTCATGTTCAAGACTCATTTTTAAGTACAGGTGAAACGAAAATAAATAATAATCAAGGGCTTCGATGATTCCATACGATTTTTGTATCAATTAATGTCATCCAAGCAGCTGCTTTTAATTATGTTAAATTAATTAGCATATTTTTATAAACAGCTGAAGGTGATACGTAATATCTGACCAGAACCAAATTTGGAAAGGTAACACATTTCTTAAAAGGAAAATATAATTAAATATTTACGAGACAATTAAAGTTAATATGTAATTTTGCCCCAAATATATTACTTTGTAATAAAGAAAAGACGTTACATATATTTTATTTAAATTTAACCAAATATTAGTTTATTTCCTTGACTGCGTATATGACTATTATGTATTTGGTTTTTATCGTATTTTAATATCATTTGAGGGTTGTTATTCCAACGTGATCATTTCAATGCATACCAGTGTGGGGCCGGTTTTCGAAGCCGGGCTACGAATACCAGTTCCCAACCAATTATACGTGTCTTTTTACTCGTATTAATATAAACAAGCGGCGAGCACTCAATAACAACGAAGGCAAAGCCACATACAAAACATTGTGTAGGTGTGGTTGTATTTTATACGGTTTGCAATATTACCGTCGGAACCGGAGCCACTTGTACTAATCCCAGGAATTAAGGCGTGATTTGTTTATTATTTTAGCCGTATGTTTATGCTAAGGAGGACATGTCTCGACTTGTAATAATCCACTCATGCATTTGCCCCCATGTCTACGTACCTACGCCATGAATAATGTATTATTCTGATTACAGTGGTTCTTACAAGTTTCTTACGAGATAACAAAAATATAGTGAAAATAAAAATCCTCACCTAACTCTGTCGGATACTATTTCGGGCTTAGAGTTCCTCTTGGCTGGTGTCAGCGAGTGTGGTGGAGCGTGTGTGGGGCTCGTCGATGGCTCTGAAGGTGCGGATGGCGGCGAGCATGACCCTGAACTTGAAAGACTGAACGCCCTTGAGCGCGTGTCGACCGCCGCCGGAGTCCTGCCAGGACGAGCTCGCCTACGCTTCTTCTTCTCTTCCTCGGCCCTGATGGCTGTTCCCGGTGGAATCCAATCGAGATCTTTCTTTAAATGTCCTCGCCCGCATCGGCAACCGCATGCCTTAAATGCTAGATCGTAACCCTTCTTCGTCCATAGATTCTGATGTCTCTGCCTCTCTGACCAGGACCTGGCGCGGCCGCACGATTTCAGATAAGCGAGTACCCCGGCTTCCCATTGCTCGAAGCATTCTCTGTGCATGTATCGGCCGGCGGCGCACGTGTCATTGTTGCATAGTACGCGAATTGCGTCCTCAACACGCACAGGTTCCCGAGGTCTGAGACATTCTCCGGGTACACAACAGCCGTGAGCGTCCTCCGACTCCCGTTCCCCGGTGGCGCCTTGTCGTCGTGGAGCCATGCCTCACGATCGACTCGAATGAAATCGAACGTGCTGGCGATGTACTGTAACGCGTCACGCGAGACACATGCTTGCCGGAGCGCGCGCGGCCGACTAATAACCGCGAGTGAACGAAAGCGAAATTTCAAGAGCGCAGCGCGTCGCCGCGCCGCCGCGCCACCCGCCTGCATGCGGGGCTGACCTTGCGGGCGAGCGAGGGGTCGCGGGGGTGCAGCGAGAGGCGGGGCGAAGCGCCCGCGACGACCCGGGTGGGGAGAAAGTGCCTAGCGAATTTTCACTTTCGCGTGGTAGCCGGTAGCCGGGCCGGCGGGCAGAGGGCGAGGCGGTAGCGGTCGATGCAAACACACTACCTGAACACTGCATCGCTGTTGACTTTGCAATACTCGTTTTAAATGTACACCAATTATAACATTTTTTTAAAGTAAATTCCAGCTTCGGATATGGTTATGGCGATCTGTTCTGAATATGTAATCAATGTAATATATTGATACCGATGTTGTTACGGAGATCGATTTAAACATTCGCTGAATAAACTATGTAACAAAATAAACTAACGCTAACTGCAAATTGCAATATTTATAATCCATGTATAATACTTAGAGTTATAAGGGATATTGTGCGTACAATGATATCATAGAATTTACTCGTACTTTAATACGCAACGCCTTTGAACAAGATCTTTGTTCACTTAGCAGAAAACCAATATTATTTTAAACTCTTGAGACATGTACATAGTTGAAAATATCTTAATGGTATATGAAAGCAAATATATCAAGCACTTATACGATTTGTTATCTGTCATTTTGACAGACAATATGGCGCGGCGTGGCATCGCGTTAAAACTCACTACTTTAGATCGCAGTAGATTATATTTATTGAAATAAACGTTTAATTCAGTTACTATACATTTATTTTAATTTATACGCAGTTATTGTATTTGTAACATTTATAATATGTTTTTGCAATTTTTTTTCCTGTATACATAATATTATACTGCGAACGTAAACATGTTATTAATTTTAATGAATTCATACCGAGTACTGTTATTTTGTATATAAAAAAAAGCAAATTATAATTTCTAGTTTAAACTCGTTTACGTAGCTTCAAATTCCATACTTGACCGGTTCCCCTTGACAATAACAAAAATTATAAATACCTTTATTCATGGCTTTTTGAAAACGCACGTGTGTTATAAAAGGAAAGACCGGTTCAAGGTTGAGCCGGGCCCATAAGAATGATAAGTACTTCGCTTTGATTCAGTGGGCAATTAAATCTTGTTTGTTTTATGACTCAGTTTATTACTCGCGGTTGTAAAAATAGATTATCAATTATAGTAAAATGTTACTGATACAATGCTATAATTATGATGTATCGATTTACGATTGATAATGTGTATTTGTACGAGTTACACGCCTTTTATTATTTCAAAAGAGGAAATTTTAAGAGGAACATATCACATAATAGAGGCTAGTAAAATATTGTATGGAGGACTAGTGAATGAATCTATAGAAAACTAGTGGCGCAACGTGTGACCCAATTTTATATAGTTCCCTCACCAGGTGATAGGTGCATTTCATATCGGAGGGGAAAGAACACGTGTATCAAACACCAGTCGAATTACATCCTTACAAACATTTTCAAGACATCCTAAAAACAAATAACTAAAGTAAAATGATTCTTGTAACGATGGGATAAGGATCAACATCCGAAATGGAATTGTGAAAACGTAATTTTGCATACGAATTGCGTCTCAACTACCAAATACGACGTTATTAAATTGTCTGAAGTCCACACATCTGTGTGACCTCCTAAAGAGCCATTGAATTATTGAGATTATTTGGAGCGTAACTCTTAAACGTATTACTGGGAAAGAGTGCACTTTAATCAAACTTTTAAATCGTGTTTATTTAACCATTACTGTCATGTTTGTTTATTACATTTTGGGTTTTATTTCTTACATACTGTATCCGTGAATTACGGCTCGTACTCATTGTTTAAATTATGTAATTTGCATTATGTAATATCAATATTAATGCATACTTTCTCATATTTGTCACTTATATGATGATTATATTTAAAAATCGAATATATTTATTAAATAAGAATTTTAGTAATACTTATTTTATGTACATGATGTGTACATGGGACTTAATTTTTTGTGGTAAAAAATATAAAGGGCAAGCTGCAATAAAACAATTCGAATTGTATACATGCAGTTGAGCGATGCGTGCAATACATATAACATTTTACATAAAACCCTCATTTCCTCTTACACCGGGCGGATGCACTAAATGTATAATGTTACCAAGTTCTGACTTCGTTAACACATAATAAGGACAGTGTTTTGATGATGTGCCAATGTCTAGACCATTGTTGTGGTTAAAACGATGTTTTCATATATACATATATTATATTATGTAAAATATATTTGTGGTAGCATTATCATTATTAACTGTCGACCGTTTGCAAAAAAAAAAACCCATTACATTGACTTCGGCAGACAAATGAGAATCATTGCATTCGAAATAATTTTTTTAAAATTTGAATCGAAAATATATAGCTTTGTTTTTTTTACAGCGCAAACAATTACCAATATTTATAATCTTCATTTAACATATTATTCAAGGTACAAAAGGTTTTGTTTCGCCATTAATATCAAAAAGTGTAAACAGACCTTTATGCATCAAATAATTTTATGTAGATATCATACACGTGAAATTTTCTGTTTCCCAAAAAGCAATTTATTTCCAGGTGAGGGGATTTTAAATGTTCAAGTAGAGCCACGGGCGGTGTGAATTAATTAGCCCTAACGACTCAAAACATCGTTTTTATTTGACCCACATCTAAGGGATAATTGTGAAAAATAAATTGTTTAATTATAACTTTTATAGGTCACTGCATAATAGCAGGTGCATCAGAGCGTACACCTGCTAAGGGGTTGTTCAAGGTTGCGAAGCTTTTTTGTACGTTTTGTTTGCGCGTGCGCAGGAATTTTTAAACGTTAACTTGTTTTGCATCTTAAATGTAGAATAAATATAAAATATATTTTAATTTCAATAAAAATAATCAATATTCACTCAATGCTTTTAACGTTACGTGTTATTCAACATTTATCGTTAATTTAGTAATAATTTATATATAAATATATCGTTTTATGCAACATTAAATTTTATTCTTGTTTTGTTTTATCAACACTTGATATACGTATCTCGTAAAATATAATGTGTTTTATGTTTTCGGTACATCAAGGCTGATTAAAATAAAAAAGTAAAGAAAGATTGTATTACATTATGTTAATGAAGTTATATTATAAAAATGAATTAAGAGAAATTATACATATTTGAACGATTATAAATAAGTTCTTGTATTACTGAACTGATATTGCAAATATATTTGTAAGCGTATAGCATTAAAATTAAATATGACACTATAATTATTTTACATCTGCTTTTAATCCATACTTTTGTAATAATTTATTAAAATTAATTACGTCAATGTGCAATGACTTTGTACAGCTAGGGTTAATGTTAAATATTACATATATAGTAAAACACCTTGTTAAAGACGCAGTTCCAAACTAGTTTTGTATAGCAATTAAAATTGTTTAAGTCTTTAAAAATATATTTAATATAGTGCCCTGCTATGCGAAGTAGCGGCAACAACAAAAGGAATTGATTACATGCCGGGAATTTAATAGTTCCGTCAACAAATAACTATTAAGAACATTTCGAAGAAAAATTTTAATTATTTTATTTACAAAAATTTCTTAGAAATTTTTCACAGAGCGTACGTCTTTCGTCGTATATATTCATAAATTATTAAAAGACAACGTTCCGAACTAGGAATTTTTTAATTATAGTTTTATATCTAAAAGAAAATGTAATTAAGTAACAAGAAATTTGGAGGCGTATTTCTTCGTATATTTTTTTGACCAATTGTTATTAGGTAAAATTTTATTCAAACCTGTCAACGATGCTTAAATTAATTGTATTGTATACTTACTTAAACAATAGTTAGAAGAAATACTCAATAAATAAATTTATTTTCAAACTTAATGTTTCTTATCAGCAGCTGTTCCGTAACTTTTTAAAATAATTTTAGTATAATTATGACTTGACGAACCCAAAAGTATCGATAATTCGATAATTTGGCAAATTTTAAGATACATACCCACAGAGTTGCTCCAAGTTAAGCTCTCAATGATTTTAACCCTGATTCTAAGGTCAAAGTAAAGCTCTTAAGTGTTCTCAACAAAAACAGAATATTAACAAAACTTTAAAATAATCTCATCAGCCTCTAAAAATTACTCATTCTGTCCACCCCTACACTTTTCACAACTTGATATACTACAAGTTCTAGTAATTCAAAATAAAAGACAATCAATTTATCATAAAAAGTGTATTATAATTTACAATAATTATCAAGTAGACATTGTTTATGTATCACCAGACAAGCTAGTCCATTAATTAAGATACGAATCTACTCACTACTCGAGATTCGAGCTCCACATTAACAGAACATTGTGGTTATTGGAGGCATCCCACAGAACTGGTAGACCTTGATCTCTCAAAGGGACCCTCGCCGATGTACCGCCGGCTAACCTTGGGTTATTTTTAAACCACGCCAGCACGAATCCCGTCCGGCAAGTCCTTCCGACTGTTACATAACGCGAAATTATAGTTTCGACTTTTTTTTCCCCCTCATCCCTGTGAAAAGCGTGTGGCCCTGTCATTTCGATTTTATGGCCTTTGTTTTGGCTGGCACATACTTTATTTCTTTTCGCGGAACCGTAAAAGGAAGAGGCAATGAAGGGTTAGTCGTTTTTGTATAGTGGAGTGGAGTTATTTATGGTTTGGAATAATGGCTGCTCAGCTCGCCGCAAATTTTAGAGACAGCTGTGTGCGCAACGAAATATTTGATTTTACACTTATATCATATCTGACCTCGCTATATTTGAGATACCTCAAATATTTGCTTTGAAGTTTATTGAAAAAACAATTATCCCTTCTACTTAAGTTTTTTGGAGTTCGAATTTACTATTTTTTAGTTATTCTTAATCGTTGTTACACCAAGCAGACAGACAGTAGACAACAAACAGACATCGTAGCCATTATTGGTCTATATACAACTCTGACAACAAAGAAGACTTAATTAAACCGAAGTTGCGGGATTGAAAAGTATTGTATTTTTATTGCCAGTTTTACCAACATATCATTATTTCTGTAAGTTTTCCGTCCGTATAAGCCTTAGGTCTTTGTTGTGCTTGCAGCTTCACCCGATGCTATTATCACGGTGGGTTGCATACATCCCTTTATTGTGTTGTTAGTACGTAAGAAATTGGAAACCGTACAAAAAGATACTTTGAAAAGCAAGACCAGTTTGACTTGTTTGTCGCTTTTGCTATGAGACCCTGAACATGAGCTTTAGTTCGATTGGCTTATAGATTTCATTCCTTCAAAATTTCGGCGACATAATAACATTGTATGTGAAATAGTGTGAGTATTTTAAATTCTATTTATTTGCTAAATACGACTTAAACCCACAAACATTCAATTGTTGCAGGAATACTGTAAGTAACATTTGTAATAAAAAGTAATTTCTCTTGAATCATCGCAAAGAGTTCGCAACACACCCATCGCTAAAGGTGAAATTATACAAAACATAAATTAAATCTCGAGGTTATATTGTCAATGATTTACAGAGATTACTATTTATAATAATATATGTATATTTTACTTACTAAAGCTATCTCTTGATTTCATATTATTTTTAATTTATGCTATGAATTATACTGGTTTTGTATAGGTTTTGCATTTTATGATATCTATTAAGTATTTATGCTTTCAATACTGTTGATTAAATTAATATAATATATGGACATTTTACTTAATTTATTGACTTTGTTTGTTAAAAATAATTTTGTTAGTTAATTTGACTTAATCACAATAGTCAATGAATCTTAATATGAATAGGAACGCTGAATGTTATATTTTTTTATTTTTAAATAAAATTATCATTTGTCTGGGTTGTGGTTACAAAGCTGAGGTAAATATTAGTAGTTTCGGTATTGGTGGGCAGTCGAATACTTAACAGAGAGTCATATTTCTAGAAACAATTCAGACCTCTCTTCTTTGTTGACAGAATTATTTATTTTTATAATAGAAAAACTCTTACTTCATTCTAGATATACTTTACAAAACTTTATTTACATCAAAATAAAACAATTGTAGAAGTATTTTACAATGAACTTGTAAAAAAAAATCTATTCGTTTCTTTACCGTTTTTGTAATTTACATCTAATTTCAAAATAACTTTGGTTAACTTGGTAATAATTATTATCTTTGTTCATTACGTAATTTTTTTCTTGTTTTTAACGATCATAAGTATACTGTAATTTAATTTATTATCTTACTGAGACAGCTTTTCAGTGTTGTGTATGTTGTGTGTTATAATTTTTTTTTTAGTATAATTGTACAATGGTTGTATATACACATATACTGACTTAAATTATACCGTCTCGATCTTAAGCTCTCAGTATAACTATTGCCTTTGATATGATTCATTTTAAAAATATATATATAAAGAAATATTATAAATAGAATATTACAATGAATTTTATAGTATAAAAATCATATCATCATCAAAGCTTCACTTATTACAAAAATAAACATGTTTATTTTTATGAGACTAACTAACTCACTATTCGAAACTGACCTATTTCATCAGACTATTAAAGCTACGTTTCTAATCTGCCCCATATATAGTATCGATCAAACAATGTTTCTCTTTAAAGCACGTTTCTTAGAAACATAAGTTTGTGTTACTCAAGTTTCATCGCCCTCTTGCATAATAGTGGCTAAAAAACAACAAAACCATTATGCGAATGACTTGACCTTATTTGTTACTCGGAATAAAATTTTATCGACTCAAAGTCAACTAAAATTAAATTAATATGCTCATCGTATATATTTAATTGGAAACTAATTTAACTAAAAAAAAGTAATAGTAATGAAACAGCTCAAAACTAAAAGTCTTATCGCCTGTTGGAGATATTAAAAATATATTTTTATGAATCCCCGAATGAAACCTGACATAAATAGATTAAAAGCAACTGTATTTTTTTATTATAACCATATAAATATGTATATATTTCACCTGGTTACGCTTCGTAATTTAGTGATTAAAATGCTTTTAGTCATAGTTATCTAATCTAAAATAACTTGCTTTATGAATACGTTCGTACGACGTCATAAAAGCGACTCGTGTCACGCTTTTCGGACATTATTGAGGAAGTTCTAATGTAATATAAACATGTATGTATACGTCTGGTACTATGGTATCTATGTTTATATTAAGCAATGTTTATTTTATTAATATATCTTGTTTGTCTCTTATGTAGGAATGAGTTTTTATGTTCTCACGCCGGAGTGCCACATGTTTTCATTGCGCATCTTTTATTCTTATTGGGCATATTCATGACATCATATGACTCGAATTAGAGCACTTTTTGATATATCTCGTGTCGGCAATAAAACTGGATTTATTATCCTTTTTTTGTTTGTAACGTATGTTATTATAATTAGATTTATTAATATCGTATAAGCGATTTGTAAAATATAGATAACTTACCTTGAAAATGTAAATGATTTAGTTGATTTAAAAAATTTAAAGATTGTTCATGAAAATACTATAAATAATTGATACTTTCTTAGTTATATAGAACTTAAAAAAAGGAACCCGACTGGTGTTTTATATTCAAAATAGGTTGCAAATAAAGTGTTTAATAGTAACAAAAGAGAATTCTAGAATGTTAAATTTATAATATCACCTTTTTTTTCAAATATAACAGGTTATCGTCATTTGAATCAAGTCGATTAGTAGAAATTCCGAATTCATAGAAAAAGAAATAAACAAGTTTTAGTGCCACCGTGCGAAATTGAAATGAGAAGTCACAGGGACGCTGTAAAGGGAAGTGATTAAAAAGGAATAAACAATTTTTTTTTTATTAAAAAATTCCTTTGAACCACCGCTCATAATGATGACATCGAGAAAATATGACGTCAGTAAAATTATAATGGGCCGGCTCGTAAACTTGGCATTTGAATAGAAAAGTTACATATCAAAAATTTTCAGTGATCCGTGCTTTACGAGTGTGTCGTAACGTTGTGCTTAACTGAGAAAATAAAAAGGACCCTTCAGTTTCTCGGTTTAAAAAGCTATGAAAACACGTTAGGGGAGATACCGGTTCAGTTTGCTTTGTGGTACTGAAGTTAGATTCATTGTAAACACATTTAAAGATAAGCTCACACTAGATAAAATTATAATGTTACATATCTAGATTAATTATTATTTTAATTTATTGTATAACATTTTCTAATCGTAATGAAGTACGTTGATGGATAAGATATCTCATTTCTTATTAAATATGATAAAAACATTAATTAAGTTCTTCATATAATATAAATACGTGTGTACTTGATATGTTATTAGACTGATTGAAATTAAATCATGTATGTAGTATGTTCATACCAAATAGAAATGTCGTTCTTAAAATTTAACTAGCGGCAGGTTATAAATAAGGAATGAGGTCTTACCCCACGTAACTCGACTCCCATTGACGGATATAATAAGATTTACTTATGTTGAACTTAGCAAAGAATGCAGGTGTAGTAACAATGAGGTCCCTCGGGAGTTCCCAGTGGACTATTTTAATAAGAAAAATGGAACTTTTTTCTCGTTGCCTTTCACTGAATTACTTTGAAACGAATAAATGAATCAGAGGATCAGAGAATTGAATTAGAAAAGTATTCGTGTAATAAAGAAATCTGTCCATTGACATTGAGTACAATGAGGAAGTCGAAGGCTATGTTCGTCGCCGGTGACAAAGACGCCAGGTATCAAACCGGAAAAGAGATCAGTTTTCCTTTTGAAGTAGTTCCAAAGAATGTTCATAATACATGATTTGACTATTATCGTTTGTGTATCACATACATTGCTCATAAATATAGGACGCTCTTTGACATATTTATTGGATATAGAGATTTTTACGCAGCATCGCTTAAGAAAGCACGACATAATATTAAATTTATAGAGTGAATTAATATTCATAACTTAAGAGTATATAACTATGTTTTTTATTTTGTATAGAATCAGACTGTTTTATTCTCATCATTTAAATGAAAGATTTTGTTGTGTCGAAATTATGACGAGTAATTTTTAACGTCTTATTTTGAATGATAAGTATAATGATAGTACTTTATTCATTAAAGGTCTACTGTTTACAAGGAAGGTAGATATTTAGAAGCCCTTTTAACGGTCACTGACTTGTATTCAAGGGCGACGTTGTCTTTGGAATACTAAAGACAATACCGCACGCGTAAGTAGGTTACAAAACAGTTTAATTGATCATTTAAATGTATTGTAACATAATGTCGTCCTTACAGAATATAAATGAAAAGATCGAAATTGATTTTAAATATCAACACTCCGAAAATATCACGTAGACATACAAAAATAACTATCTAATTAAAAAATATATAAGCCTTGACGTAAAGTTGATGCCAGAACTAAAATTTATATATTCTAATAGGATTTATCGCTAGAGGTGACTTGAACGGGCAAAGAATTTTTGGGAATGTCGTAGAAAAAGTAATCTTATTTATCATCTGTTAGGGAGTAATAAATTAGTGGTCTTAAATCTTTTTATCTTTGAAATAAAAAGACCTGTTTTTT